CTTCGACCCGAGGCCGGGGACAGCAGAAACGTGGTGCTGCGGGAGCAGAGAGGGCTAGGAGCTGTGGGATGCTCTTTCCAGCGAAGCCGCGTGGATGGGGGGGAAGAGTGTTCGAAATGACACGTGCGTCAAAAATTACGAGGTTTTCCTATGGCCCTGTCTCGTCATGGCTTTCACCGCGGTTTTCTGGACTGGGAACAGAGAGAAAATGATGGCTAGAGGTCCACATACTGTTCTGTGACACAGAATGCTTCTATTACAAAGACGTGTTTAATTTTGTATTTTAAAAGGTGAGCGTGCCTTTAGTTATGTATAATTTACACAACAGCAATATTTTATAGACCAACATTTCTACAGTTCCTTATGTTATAAATGGAGAAATCATTTTGTCTTCCGAATAAAAAGACCAAAAGAGCTGTAGTCTGAATTTGCCATTTCCAAAGAACTTTGAGTTTTCATTTGTTGTCATATCATTCCAGTGATTTCGGCAGACAATAGAGATTTTTTTTTTTTTAGCAGTTATTCTAGTCACCTTCACTATATAGCAGAAAAAGTATGCTTGTTCTCAGTGTGTCTTGTTTTGTAGTTGTTCGGAATAGGATGCTAGTCGTTCCTAAGCTAGTAACTACATTTCATTAAAGCTACAACATTATCTTTTTAGGTAGTTTTGCTGTTCTGAGCCTTCAGAAAGCAATAAACATTCAGAGATGTTGGGGTTTTTTTTAGCATTTATATGTGATGTTGAATGTCATGGAAGTTGACCGTGAGGTTTTTTTCATCCACACTTTTTAGGTTTTGGGGTTTTTTAGCTTAGATGTATATTTACTGATATACACAAAAATTTATTTTACAATACTATATTTGATACAGGACCATTTCAACTGAAAACCAGAGTTGCTTTTTAAAAACGCAGTAATACAAAATGATGTTGGTTTTGTATTGTATTTTAGTAATACCAAAGTTGTTCTCCCTTGCAGCTGAGGCTCCTTTCCCGCTCCTTAACCCTATTTCCCCCCCATTTCTTTATTTTTCCTTTTTTTCTTTCTCCTTTTTTTTTTTCTGGTCCCCTGTGACTTTTGGCAAAAAAGGCCAACAAAAGGTAATCAATAAGATGCAAATGTAAGCATATTTTTGTTCTTACTGCTTTGGATGAACTCCAGGCCTTACCAAAGTTGGTGGCAATAGTCCTGCTGATGGAACAGGTAAGATTTCAATCCTTGTCTTATATCCAGAGATTCCAAATTGCTTTTGCAAAGCTGGGCAAGTATCATCTCCTCAGCATCTGGGGTAAATGAAGTGATAGGGAAAGTAACATCACATTATACCGAACTATCCGCTGGCTGAAAAGAGCCAACAAAAGCGTAAGCGAGAAAGAATACAAGACTGATTTTTTTTTCAGTTACTTTAGTCATTTGCAACAGAGGGGAAATACTGAATTCAGAACCTGTCTGTGTTCCTCTCACCACACCTGGAAGAAACATGCCATTGATGAAAAAAATAAAATGTATTATTTCACTGATCCAAATGGCTGTGCCCATAGGATCCAATCCGGCTTCTGCTGTAACTTTATAAAGCCCCTGGGCACACAGGTCGTCCACGAGCACACATGTCGCTGTATTTCGTGTTTCATAGCTCTAGTGGATTCTCCTACAGATAACTTTATTTGAATGTAGCTTTGGAGTAGAATCCACTAAAGGAGTTTTTCCCAAGAGGAAAACTGACAGAACTGTGAATTCCCTTAAAGTGGAAATTTGTTAAGCAGTAAATACTGTTCCTTGTCTTGCAGAAAATGCTCAGAAATGAAGGCCCTAAGGTCACTCTTCTTTAACATGTACTAACTCATCTGTTTGCTCTTTATGGAGTGCTGCCCATCTTATTTTTCTTTACTGCAGTAGCTGAGCACATAACATATATCATAATATTTACCTTCACAACACAGTGTGACATGGCAATTACTATTCCCATGTTACAGATGAAGAATCTGACATAATAAGGAACAGAAGTCAGCTCTTTCAAAGCCAAGGCTGATACCTTAACTATGGCCAGTTTTCTCCGTTTTAATCTATATAAAGAATACGGAATAAATCAGTATCCTTTATACATCACTCAAGATCACAGGTGATGTGTATGTCATGCAATACACGCTGCTAAGAAATCTTAAGAAATAGCTAATTTAGCAAGCTAATTTACCCCTAAAAAGCAAAGAAAAAAATACTATCTGAAATAAAACTAAAACTTTTATAAGTTTGTTAAAAAAACATCATTATCTAATGAGATCTACAGTAGTGCTGCCAGCTCCTTGTCCATTTGCTGTTCCTGAACTAAAGAGAGTAAAGGTTATCAAAAAAAAGAGTTTGCAACATTCTTTTTGGTGATTTTAGGGTCATTTGTTTCTAAAAAAATAACCGAACTGAGTAGTGACAGACCAACAGAAGGTGCTCTAGTTTGGTATTTTACTCTCAACTTTAAAAATCCACTTTTTAAAAAATTTGTATTATTTCAAAATTTTACAAACTGTTTATGTGTAGCAGAGGTGACAGATTTAGTAGATTTTGCTCAGAAAGAAGAAAACAGGATGAAAAATCCCCCAAATACCTTTTTATATTTACCTATCCCTGCTAATGCATGAACCAGTTAAAATTAAAAAAAAAAAAAAAGAACTTGTCTAAAGTAAAACATTTTGGAATTACTGACTTTTCTGAGCTAATTCTTACTATCCCACTTACAGTTTCAAGAGCACCAAATAGACAAAACAGCAAACAAAAATGGTGTAAAGAGGCTTCTCTGGTTTTAGGATTAAAATATACTTTCCAGTCATACCATTTTTTTAGAACCAAGCCTTTAATTTTTGCACATTTTATCATACTCAAGTACACATGAATCATAATTTCAAATATTTATATTTAGAAGGAGGCATGCACTCTGTAGGGAGGTGAGTTATAACAAGATATAGGAGTCCTCAGTCACAGGCAGTTAAACATCTATATCTGATTATTATTCTTGGGAGTTTAGTACTGTTATCATTCAACCATTAATTTTATTTCCCAGTGTTTATGATGTTATCCTATCTGGAGATCAGTGTTTGCACAGACTCTACCTATTCATTTCACTTGTAAAAATGTTCCCTTCAGATGTTAGTTTCATTTGAGGTATAGAAGTCTCTAATTTGTGGGTATATTTCAGCATCTGCAGAGAGATGAAAATTTAACAGCTGAAGCAACATGGAAAGAAGGAACGTTTATAACGAGAGTGTTACATTTGTAGCAGTGTTCCCCTTACCTCTGTCCTCTACAGCTCAAGATTTGCACCCTCTGAGGCCGGAGTGGCTGAGTACAGGCAGGAGGACTCTTACCCCCTCTCTCTCAGGCTGGCCAAAATTGTCTGCTTCTGTGATTTTTATGGAGCCAGGTTTTGCTGCAAGGTGTGCCTTACATTTCTTGAGAATGCTAATAAGAAACTGGAAATATTCCTTCTCATTAGGATGTTGGGCTATTCTGAAATACTTTGGAGGGATGTTACTGTTAGTACAATCCAAATTCACCTGTAGGAAGCAAACGTGCTGCTGGGAAAAGAAGGACTGAATGAAGATAAGCTGCTTCACCTTCAACTATACTGTCCTCCGTCTCACAATTTTACTTTCTTGGCTGTTGAAACTCTCTCACTGCTTACTGTTTCAAGCCGTTCACTGCCTTTCCTTTTCTAAATTCCTAAGTATCTTCCCTGTGCTCTCTTAAATACATAGTCTAGAGGGAGGTAGCATGAAAAGCACTGAACAGCTGGAAAATAGGAGAAGCCACAGGATTTACTTCTGAGCAAAGCAGATATAAACACTTGGGGGGGGGGGGGGGGAGAAAGGCTGAAGGAGCGGTTTTTAA